ACAACATGCCAACCAAATAAAAACACATACTTAACATTCAAGCTGCCACTCTTCCATTGATCATTGCCGGTCAGGGCAGTTGTTCACTACAAAAAAAAAATAGGCCTATATATCTTGGGCTGAGTTCTGTGGGCAGACTCGTGGCTGTACACTCCGAGAGAAGCGGGGTGGTTATACACTTTTGAGTAGAGAATAAAATTTAAAAAAATCCGAGAAAATTCTTGGAGGTAGGTCTGACCTTTGTGATCACCTTTTGTATACACAAATTGGAGTGGTATATAATAGGGTTTTGAATAACCTCGGCCATCATTATTTAAGATGTACTGCCACCGATTGGCATACTCTGCCCACAGAACTCAGCCTAAAATGTATAGGCGTGCGAGTCGTTGTCGAGAAGAAATAGCATCGGGCCGGTGACCGATGATATGGTGTGTTTGCCCATCAGTGGCAGCACCTGTCTCGGTTTCTCTCCTTCCACAAGTCTTTCCTATTGTACTGATCATGAGCGCAAGCATTAAATGCGCCACTCCAAGTTTACAGTAATGACTAGAGCGATTCTTCCCGCCTCCGCGCATCCGTCCGTGTGTACCGCGGACTCTGGCCCTTTATTACCCGAAAAGGCGCATCCGTCCGACCCTTCGTTTCTTCTTCGGTCTCCCACTTATTTCGTTGGCTTCTTCACCGCCGCCGCGCGCTGCCGCAGGCTTTTCTACGGCGCCTTTTCTACCTCTTCATTCGCTCTCTTGCGATCATCCCTGGTTCTTCTGCCATGAGGACGCGCCTTTGGCCTAAATATCCGATTCTGCGCCCAGCTTCCCGATTCCTGCGAACACTCTTTATTTCCCACGTCTTCCTATTCCCGCTACCCCCAAGCGTATTCCTGTTAACAATGCGTGCCAAGCAGCCCGCGCGACATCCTCGCCCGCCCGCCCCCCTGAATATTGACAGTTGAAGCTAAACATACGTGGTATGCGGTACACCGATCCATACATTGGCCCCTTTTTAGCACTGGATACATCGGCGAGGATTTGATTCGAAGCGTCTATTTTATTCCGAACTCGCATTATACGCGGCTGAAGTACCACGACATCTTGTTATGCGTGGGGTGTTCAACAACCCAACCAGCTTCCCGGGTAGCAGGCAGGCCAGCCCGGTGGGTACGCTGAGAACGCGAGTCGAAGAGAGTGGGGCGGTGCTCCATTCAGAGGCCGAGGTAACGTACTGAGCGATTGGAGAGCGCCGGTGCATGCCCCGATCGGGAAGTCTCGCCTTCCGTTCGTTGCTGGAGGCCAGCTTACCTCGATTTAGTTCCAGTAGACTGATTAGTTAGTTTTTTGTGTGCGTATGTGTCCCATATTCGAGAAGCAACCTCAAGCGTTGTTGGAATGCCTTCCATCGGCCAACTGGACAAGTGGCTACATACTTCGACGCAGAGTATCAGAGGATTTATAATTACACACGATAACAACGAACACAATCGGACTAATTCAACTTGTATGCATGGAATACAATCATCAATATCATTTAGTGCCCCACGCGGCACTTGATTGAACTGGCGACGTCGTTAAAGCCTTGGTCATCAAAGTTGCCATTGCTGGGGTCAACAACGAGACTCGATCCCTTGCAATTCTTGTCGCTATAGAGGAATATTATTCATAAGCTGACTGGTATTTAACCTTGAAGACTAGAAGTATGATACTCACGTGAAGAAGGTGCAACTGCCACCCCCCAAGAGCCAAAAGGAACTCCCCTATCTTGGCGCTGCTGATTGTGTTGTCCAGAGAAGGCGGCAGATTGTGGCATATCGGGATAAGGTATTGAGGACCCAAGTCCACACAGTCGTCAAAGTCCACATTGCGGCACACCGTGACGACAGTAAATGGACCGATATCCGGCACGAGCTATGAGTGGGAACATGATCCTTAGATAAACGAGAGGGATCCCAGAAATGCGCAACGTACCGAACCATCTCCCTGTATCCACGGAAGGATAAGCTACGGCCTGCATTGGAGTGGGGGTGATACCTACATTAGCAGGGAGAGCAAGGGCTGACTTGAAGCCAGTGGTGGCAGCGAGAACAAAAACGCTGAGCTTGGACAACATGAATATAGGAAGGTGTTAACTTTGAGTACAAGTGAGTTGGGTGTATGAGATTCCACCTGCTTTCTTTTAAAGCTGCTGGATTGAATTTACAATGTAAATTTGGCGCAAACTGCGACGTCCAAGTTGGAAGGTTCGCCGGCACCTGTCAACTTTGTGGGCAGAATCTAAACTTTTTGGTTCCCTGAAATGGGAGATGCAGTCAAATTCAAGAGCAAGCCACGAATGGAACTGTACGGGCTATAGCCTATAGCACTGGAATGATTGCGATTCCCACTCCTGGCGATATTCAATGTGCACCTTCCTTCCAGGAGGATTTGCAATTTCAGCACATAGAAGTTAATTTGTTCAGTTCTGAGAATCCAATGCTGTACAGAATCGAAGGGGAAGATTCCAACATATTTAAAATATTTATCTCGAGCATTGAAGAATTCTTGATTATATCGAATCATTGCATACACCCGAGGAGTGGAGGAAGCGTGCGCGTCGGTGTCTGGCTAGGACCGCCTGGGTGTTTAAAATTATTTGCGGGGATGTAAATTCAATATTGTGCTCTAGATATGCTCACAGTCTCATCTCTTGGTTTTTCCGGCAAAGAAGTTATTTGTGTATTAGTGAGAGAGCGGAATGAATGAGGAGAGGTGTGAACATGATTTTGTCACATCCAAAAATTCGGTTAGGGAATATTTTGAGCATGAATACCAGCTTGTCAGAAGATCATATGGACGTCGATGGATACAGATGATTGGCCATTCCTTGGAGAAACAACTTTAAACTGGCCAGCATAAGAAGATTGGATTTCTCCCATTTTTTCCGGTGCAGAAGTGTCCGCACTTGGGAAGGTACTAATTCCAACATATACATCTCGACTAATTCTGCCGGGCGCGCGTTAATATATCACCCGAAGGTGTTTCATCAGATGTCATCGACGCGCTAATAATTTCGACAAGCTCGACAAGAGGAAGGGAAGAGAGAAGGCGGCTAGCCCAACCTCCACCCCTGCGCCGCCGCCGCCCCCTGCTGCGCCTCCTACGCCGCCCCCGCCCCCGCCCCCGCCCCCGCCCCCGCCCCCGCCGCCGCCGCCACCTCCCCCTGCTGACGAAGGCGAAGTTCCCGGTGACACACCTGAGGGGGAGGGGGACGCGCGGCAGGGGAGGAGGGAGAAGGGCTTCGGTCCGTCTATCCATCCCGTCACCTGTCAGAAAGACAGGTCGTTACGGGTCAAGGACGGGACCACCCGTCCGTCTGATGGGTGACGGCCGTCATGACGGGTATTTTTGCCGTATGAGGCGGGTCTTCAATTTTCTGATGCAGGAATTTATACCGATTAATAAGAGGTGCTAACTATATGAGCTTACTTCTCTTCAAGCTCTCCATAAGTTTTTCTGAAGTCCTGCTGATTAAAATAACCTGGTACGAGAGCCTTGGGAGGTGCATAACGTAATTCACAGGACAAGTTGGAATGTAGAGCCTTATTTGGTCTTCGGTCGACTCTTTCAATGTTTTAGTGACCCTGAACCGTTTGTTTCTCAACAGCCAGAGGCCAGCTCAAAGCTCAACAGTCTCGGCAAATTCCGAGTACTTGTTGATGCGCAGAAGGAACTCAGAACAGCCACTTTGGGGCTGTATTATGTGGGCTAGGTAAGACATAAATAATCGCTCTTAATTTCAATGGGTAAGCAACTCAACTTTCAGCTTAATCTTGACACAATAGCCATAAACTTCATGACGCGTCGACCCGTCGACGGCCGGGGGACAGACGGAGCTTGGCGGGTCCACCCCGTCCGTTACCCGGCCGTCGCTTTTTTCCTTCAGAGCTCGCCCTCGCCCTGGGAGAGGCCGCAGAGGCAGGGGCAGTGCTGATAATCCTTCCATGACAGCGAACTTTTGGTTTACGAGGAAGAAGTTGAAGAACGCACTGCATTCAAACGGGTGCAATTGAATCCGAAGTAATAACAAAATCTGTATCGTTCGACTGGGAAGCTCTATATCTTTTCTCGTCATTTTGGGTATTCCATTTGAATTTTGGAGTTGTCTAGAGGCATTTGTGATTGGAATGCGCTGTATTCGATCTGCAGTGTTCAAGGAAAATGAATGTAGTGCATGAAAAAAGTTGTGTACCGCCAGGAATGCGCAGCAGAATGCGCTCAAAGATGAGGAGGAACATGAGTGGCGGGAAGAAAGTGAAAATTGTGTTTCGGCTGCGATGCGCCTGTCTTCAGCAGCCGTGTGAGGCGCCATTCCTCGGCAGACATGCAAGTGACATTCATCCCACGAACTTTTGGCTCGAATTTCACAGATCCAAGCAGAATTTTAGGAACCCCAAACAAACTTTCCGCAACGACGAAAATTGTGTGGAATCCAATGAATTTATTTGTCCATTCTGACATAATCCAATAATCCTCCCCCGGCCTCAGGAAAATTGGGTCGACATTCCTATCTTACTCCCTGCACTAGTAGATGAAAGTCCTCATAACAAATAATAGGTCGCTCGCTACTCACAACGCGCACGCGAACCATCGTGGCGCCGCAGATCTCCGCTAGCGTGCAAGCCCAGTAGCAAGTGAGTTCCTCGTCTTCCCATCACTGTTAGCCCTGCACGTCACCGCAGCCATTCCTCCCTGTTTCATCTAGTAGAACGACGCTGCTTTGTGCCAGTGTCTCTGAGATGGCGATTATGTCTCGGGAACTAAAATTTAAATACTGTAACTACCCCCGGATTTCAACCATGGACTTGAGATTCGTATTGCATTCAGACACATCAACACGCGAGACGTGGAGAAGTTGCATATTAGTTCGACCTGTGGCGAGACTTGAAGATTGAACCTTTATCCAGCACAAGATGTGGTCGTGGTTAGAAATTTCTACCTCTTATCAGAGTACCAATATTATTAGATATGGGCTCAATGGTGCAGTGGTGGACGCCTGCAAAAATATTCTGGATACCACTGGTTGCCGATGCAGGAAGCGCCCGGTCGACTCGGGCTTGAACCATGATGGAAACCGGATGTTTTTCACCCACTTTCTTTTTAAGTACACTTTCCAAGTTCAACATCCTGTTCGAATCCCGGAATTACTCATCACAGGGGCTCCTATCCGTCGAGTCCACTTGAGGTCAATTTTGTATAAGATCCCAGACATGCCTATGTGGCGTAAATCTCACCACATGTCGGACCCTTATAGGTATTAGACATTGGTGCAATGGTGTATTGGTGCGGACTTGCGAGATAATATTTCCATCTTCTGGACTGGTGATGCAGGAAGTGCCTGTTCGAACCGGGCTTAAACCCTAGCGGCTTGAAGTGGCATTTTTCTTTTCGCAGTCTTTTTTTTTTTTTTTCTGGAAAATTATGTTGAACGGCGTGCGAGTGTGTTCAAGCTAGCTCACTGCGGACCCGGTGGATGGATGAATACTCATGCTGATTAGAGCATAGGATGTTCTGTACACCAGTATCCTCGTTTTTTTCTTACCCCGCATTTTATTTCATATCGAACTTGAACATCTTGTATACTTATTGAAGACTGGTGGTCATTGGGACTTGGCATGTGGGCCATTGCTTCGCATGGCAATACGAGTCCAGTCCCAGGTATACAATTAAAAACTTACTACCCTTTATGACACAATACAGTTATCGTATCAATCTTTTGGCCATCAATGCCAAGCAACTCTGGTCATTTATTTTTCTCACACGTATCATACAAGTAAAGTCTTCCGCGCAGGAATTCACTGTCAGTCAATCCTCTCGTACAGAGAAATTCTTCCCAAATGGATACATCGAGACGTTAAGTCACTTACGTGCCAAACCGGTTTCTGATACTTAGTTCACCGCACACCGATTCTGTATCACGCCGCAGAGGACTGCCGAATATCGCGAACAAGAACTCAGTCGAGAGGTGTGTACCGTCCAAGATCAGTGTTTCAAATTGAAGACAAATCAATCGGAGACTAAATATCCAATGTTTGCCATACGAACTTGTGCTTCTTATCATCCGACTGCTACTAAACCAGAGCGACGAGTTCGACTGGTTTTATTTTTTGAACAGGCTCATTATAAGCCATTTCTTCTCTAAATGGAGAGCTGTATTACTGGACAACATCGAGTTCTGGAGGCATCTGCACATACACGCGGGTTTTCCTCTGACTTACCTGGAAAAAAAGAGACGGGACCCCTTCCGAAAGAACGTCGTTCCAGTGCCTGCACACACTCCGCAGAACAGTGAGTTCGCATGCATACAGGGGCTATCCAGCGAAGAGATATTCGAGGGCAATTCTGAGTATCCGAGAAAGCACTTCGACTGGCAAGTCTTGTACAACAGCCTGGAGAACAAGCATCAGACGCGGCACGCAATATCCTAGTGGCTTACCATTGCGTGAGGAAGCAGAGGTGGAAACACGCATACCAGAAGCAATAGACGAGGTCTTTATAAGATGCATGGCAACTAACCGCCACGAAAGAGCCACCGTCGTCGACACAGAAAGAATATCGGATCACTCTGTCGGATCATTCAGTACGAGAAGTGGATCAGAATTTGACAACCTCAGATTCTGGCACCGATTCTTCCTGCTGGATACTGAATCGGATACTCAGCGGAGTTTGAACTCACGGCTTCTCGGCCAATCCCATCCAATGTGGAATTTTGCCGCGTTGCATGGCATCTATGTTCATACAGAAATCGAGCTGCAACCATCCTCTATTCTCATTTGTGGTCTGGTTCTTTTCAAGTGGTCACTTACATAATTGGCAGACGTCGTGCATCCTTTAAATAAATAAACTTTAAGTTGTGGAGTGTGAAGCAAGAATCCAAACGATCGAGGCATGCGCGCTCAGATAAATGTAAACCCCTCGAACTCATGGATTGGGATGCAGCAAGTGTGCTGCTGATATTGAAGGGGTTATGCACTTGAAAGAGCCTGAGGTGTCGTTGAGGCCAGCAGAAAAAGAAAATCATAGTGAAAGTGCTGTGCACAACGAAGAATAAGATCACGCAAGCAACACGCAAGCACCAGCATGAGCGGAGGCCATAGACAGCCGCAGCCACAAAATGTCCTAGTAGGTTGCCGTTGGAGCCTGATATTCATGTTCCGTGGCTGTTGAGCAGAGCTGCCCACAGCCACCGCCCACAGCCACGGAACGTGAATATCAGGCTCTGACGGCAACCTACTAGGCAAATGCGATGAGATGATACCAAAGACCGGAGTCCTGGTCGGATCGAGATGGTTCAAGTAATATGGTTCCAATGATGGTGGGTAGAGTAGCCCCAAGGATTAAGAAGAGCCGCCTCCAGAAAAGCGGCATATGCTAAATCAGGCAAAAATGCCATCAAAACAGCGACAAGAACCGGAGTTGGCCATCAATGAAGATGCCACCCGAGCGGAATATGCTTGGCAGAAGGGTAGGGAAAAGGGCCAGAAAATGTGGAGCTTAGCCCCAAAGTGCATCCCTGGGGGGGGGGGCGGGGGGCCGAGGCATGATTAAAATAGAATTGTGTGGCTACTAGCACTGGTGATTTAAGACAAGAAGACGCTCTCGACATTATCTGGGGCAGGTGCACTGGTGCAGAATCAAAAATGAGCTTAGGTTTCCCAAAAGGGGTGCTCCATTCTTAGGTCGACCCGGTCAGGTCGTTCAAAATAATTCAATATTTGTGTGGAACAAATAAAGATTCAAATTCCGCTTTGAGTGGCACTTCTCCACTTCACTTCTCTGCTTCTCTGTCATCCAGTAGCATCTTACATGTGTTGTATAAGCTGTATCAAGTTACCCAGCACCAGATTTATCTTCATAGGATGTGTGGTGAAGATTATTAATTGTGTCGGAGTTTGAATTTTGACAAATATTGAGTTATTTTAAACGACCTGACCGGGTCGACCTAAAAATTGAGCACTCCTAAAGTTTCAGAACAGGTTTCCAATCAAAAATTCCCATGTAGCGCAAATCGCAACGAGCCCCAGATCTTTTGGAAAAATAACATTGGAATATCTCGTTCTTTGCATTGCTACGAGTTAAATTAAACAATTGGAGTCGCAACATAAGGTCCCCGAGTACAATTGAATCCCAAAGTCGATTGTTCGCCGGGAGCCAGCGTCGCCGGGTCACAGATAACAGTCGTCTCATTTGCGGGCGCGAATGGATGAACATCGATCTTCCCCACCGAGATATTGACCGCTAACGGCAGTAATGACGTTGAGTTCATCCCAGACGGAATAAACTTCAACGAACCTGTCCCTTGATAGAGATCGAAGATGATGCTCTGCGTCGCGTCTCCACCCTGGACGAAATTCCAACACACCGGAGTGATGCATGCTGAATAAAAAAATCGTATCAATTAGAAATGCTTGGATTCTTATTGGAGCCTGCGCACATCCGTCTGCTATGAATAACAAAGCTCAGAAATGCCAATTGATAAAGGTTGGTAAATATTCAACCTACTCCAATTCGCGTTCAGACTACCCTTGAAGTTATTGTACTTGAAATTGGATATATGTGTGCTGCTGTTGCTTGTGACGTTCGGAGGGGGCCCCAGACTCTACAAATATTTTTTGAAGAAGAAGACTACTCGAAAACGGAGTTAAATCCGTACCTGATCAAAGTAGCTTCGGTATCACTTAGGTTAGGCGCATACTGATGAGTAGAATGACGATGACGCAGCTTTTGAGTTAGGAAGATAGGAGTTGAAACATTCACGAGCGTGATATCTTCCTAGGTAACATTATCTGCGAAACCGGCGCCACCCGTCCAACTTTTGAACTAAAACAAGGTAAGATAGGATGTAGTGTTAGAATTTTGAGAGAGATTTGCCCTCGCGCCGTAAACTGCTCCATCCATAGTCCAGTTTTTAAATAATACTCGAGGAAAGTGAGTATGCTATACTCTAGTTGAAGGAGACCCGTACCCGTCCACGGTGATGTTTTGTCCGGAGATATTGATCCCTACACCGCCAAAGTGCCGGCACGCTTCCTCCAGCTGGACTGTCCAGCTGATGTCCACATTTTATAAAAACTGGTCCCACAATTTCTCCAGCTGGTGGCCAGCTTTTTTTGCCAGCCTGAAATCCAGCCTTCCACCAGCTGGAATCTATATGAAGCCATATGGCGCCCACCTTATTGGACATGTTGAAATCATCTGTACGAAAATATCCAGCAGTGTGCCAAACTCTCTTTTCACCGTAATTTTGAAGTTTGGGAGCTCAGCATCAGTGTAGTGTTGTGATCGCGCATTAAAACATCAAAAAAACTGGAAGGGAAAGCCAATCAATATACATGCGTGGTTATTCATTCATATACCCGCTGAGACTGGTCTTGGGCTGGTCCTCCATTCTCTTGATATTACGCGTACATAAGAACCTGCCATTCCGTCCTGTGATTACTGAGTTTAGAAATTGAATATTCCTAGGCACTGGCCAAAGTTCAAGCCCACACACAAATTCAGGGAGATCATAAAAAGATAAGGTGAACGGGTTGAAAAAAGGGTAGATAGGTAACATTAAATGTAAATCAGATCATGATCAAGTCCGTGCGCAAAGTTTGTCCATGTATATCCATCACGTGCCTGTTGGTCGCCTTCACAGATCTTGCTTTCTCCCTCTTCCCGTCTCTTCTCGTCTCTTCCCTCCTCTGTTTCGAGAGCTGGGGATTTGCCTTCCAGCTATTCCACCATAGCTCATGCCTCAACTCAAGCCCTCAGAACTCAAGAGCACGCATCGTGCTCCCAAATCAAGACTCAAGAGGTGCAAGCGGCGATCTGCCAAAGCAAGACCTCCGACCAGGAATCGCCTCTTCCGTGCATACTCTCAAGCGCCAGAATGTGGCATTATCTTGAAGCGTACTTTGCACTCTTGCCGGCAGCAACTCTTCAAGAAACACAAGCAACGAAGCAACATTTTATCAGGAGTGAAGGAGGACCGCCAGCCCCACTGATCAACAGCCAAGACACATTGCCGACGTTCCTCCCGTGCCTCTTCGCACCCACCGTCCGTGAACCACAAAATCGAAA